CTATGGGGCAGCGTGAAAAACAATTTGTTTTCGTTTATAATAAACCTAAATTAAATGTCCCAGCAGACTGAATATATACGTTTTGTAGATGAAGTCTTCCTCTGTAATATGCTGTATTAAAAATTGTGGATAAAGGACCATTTTAGCGAGATATTTGTGATGGAAATAAATAAATAGTGTCCGGGAGGTCAGGAGGTCACGTGGGTAGCAGACGTACTTGTTCACGACATATATATACCATATACCTATATATTACTTCGCTATACTACACCAACACAGGTGGTCTGGTCTGGTGGTGTACCCTCGTATGCACTAGACTGGTCAAAACAATAATTAATTTTTCGTACAAAGTTAAACTACACACATAAATATCATTTTTCTCACTTCATACGTTATTAAAAATATCGTATTGATTTTCAGACACATTTGTTTATTGAAAAACAAAACTTTATTTTTTGTTTGTCTTTGACCTCAGCAGTAGTCGTAGGAGCCCCCTTAAGCAGCGCGCTGCTGTACTGGCGAATGAGCATTAAGCTCTTCTGCGCATGTGCGACTTTGCAGTACCGTCTGGCATCACTGGTCCACGCCATCATGAGTACGAGAGCCAGTCGTACTGAACTGAGCTCTTCATTTTCTCTCTTTTTGCAAATCTGTACGGTAAGGAAATAAAGCTGATCCAAAATTGTAAAAGTCAAGCTCTATTTTGGCATTCGCATGTATTTTTATTCCCTGAGCTTTCACCCTGTAAGTTCTATCCTCTATCAAGTGCAGAATCGTGCCTCACAAGACTTATCCGACACAAAAATATAGGTGGTTTTACAAAAATAAAAACCTAAACCATTTTAGAGACACATTACCTGTCTCCAATATTTAAATAAATTAAAATAGATGTGAAACAAAGCTCAAGTTAAAGATATGGTAGAGATCAAAGGAGTCGATAACACTAGGATTACTTGTTTAAACACAGAGACGTTAACGCTTTTAAAGATTAAAATATAAAAGAATCATTAAAAAATTACTAAAATATATTAAAACTACGATGAGGAGTACTTACTAACACGTAATCGGAAAACTAACAATAATGACAGAAAAACTGCATAAAAGAGCCCACTTAAAATTTTTTTGGGCATTACGACATAATCAAAAACGTTAGACCTCGGTAAAAGGGGAAATAAAAAAAAAAGATCAAAACCTCAAAAATACATAAACAAATGTTTGATACTTACAAGGCTGCATAAGAGTATAAGATTTTTTCCGAAATCCATCCAATAACCAAATATTGGCCCGAAATTTTTGTCGGCTCTTACTCCCAGCTTTCCTTGTAAATCGTTAACTTGGAGCAGTAGTGTTAGGTTTCACCGAGTAATATTTATGAAATAGTGTTATTGTGTCATACGCTGAACTTACGTTTATCTATTGTATAACTTTTTTAGGTAATGTAGCAGTAGCGTACTTTACTTGTTTTTTATCTTATGTTTTTGTAAAGATCTTTGTCATGAGTCTGCTTATTTTTGCTTTGTATTTAATTTATCTATTAAAGCTACAATTTGGTTTTGCCAATTGGCATTTTCAATATTGAAGTACTTGAATGTAAAAAAGAGTTTCAGTCAATAATTAAGTTGCGTTTTGTTTAATAATTTAATAAACTAAGTAATGCAGAAAATATTAGAATTTCACTATAATATTAGTTATAAATTTTCAAATCCGCGTTTACAATGATTTAACAAGTCTTAATTTTTCGCAACGCTACTTATTTCTGTTATCGTTATTTAGCCGTTGCTCTCACGTACGCAGTCCTAAGATCTTACAAGAATACTGCAAAGCTGGTTCTAATTCTACACGAAGCATTTGTGGTAATGATAATAATTGAGCTGTGGCTTTAAAAAAATTTTTGGAATAGTACCAGTAATAAAATTAATTAAATCAAGAAATACGACAAAAAAACAAACTTTTATACGCATCAGTACAATTTATAATATTGTGGTGTTCTATTTCTTGAGGATTTGTTGTTATAAGTCTTCTGTGCTAAATTCT